AGTGCATAAACTTCATCAGAATGTACATCAAGGGCCAAATCAAGATTATCAAAATGAGGAACAAGTCATGATGCAAAGATGTAAACAAACAAGGCATATGGAGAAATTACATTCATAAGTGAGAGAGAAGCATACCTTAGTGAAGTGATACATTCAGCGTCCAAAGTGAGAGGCAGCTCATCACGAAATCGAGTTGGAGAGTGAAAATTTCGAATTTCATTCTCAAGATGATGGACTTTGGCAAAGATAAGGCAATACTCACTAGAGTGAAATACAAGAGGATGTCTTCCCAAGATGCTAGGTTCACACAAAAAGCATTTAGAGATGAAGTCTTGTAATTTTCCACATTGGACCATTTGCTGAAAAGTATCTGTGTTCCAATCTGAGCAATCATCACAGTTTGAGGCAACAAATTTTCCTTTTATCTTGGAACCACCAACATGTTCTTCCCACGTTTATCAACAATTTTGCAATTTGTCTTGGAAAAGCAAATTTTATTAGCAACTTCATCACATAGTTGACCAATACTAAGGAGATCAGTTGACAATCCAGCCATATAGCAAACATCTTCAAGCATAGAAAGTCCAGGAATCTTCACTACTCATTTTCCAACAATCTTAGTCTTGTTTCCTCCACCAAACACAATCATACCACTTTTGAATAGTACAAGAGATTAAAAAAACATCATTATCACATGTCATATGATGAGAACAACCACTATTGAGGTACTAGGTGTCTGGACTAGAAGATGATGTTGAACTTTGAGCAAACAAACACTTTCCAAATCCACATTCAAAGCAACTTGAACTTGGCTTGACATTTCTTGAGCTTAAAGAATTAACAATATTGGATATTCTGCTGACCTCTATGGTTAAACGATCCACTTGTTCCTTTAGATCATTTTTCCTTTCTAGACGTAGTTTTCTACACCTAGGTCTAATGTGGCAAAGATCACCACAATGATGACATTTGGGAACGAATCTAGACCCTGAAGTAGAGTCACCCAAAGAAGATATAACAGATAATTCCTTATAAGCATGTAAGTTCATACCTATGGAACTTGAGCTGCTTTCATCACAAGCAACCACATCATCACCTTCAAATTAATTTCCTGTAGCGAATACTATTTCCGATAAGTCAGCACTCATAGACAGACAGTTTAATTTGCAAGTAGCCTCATTCAATTCAAAAGTTATCTTCAAATTAGCTTCCCAATACAGTTCATTGTTTTCCCGTAGCAAATGAATTTGTTGAAGCAAACTTTCATGCGATATCATTAATCTTTTAACATGATCTTCAAGAAAAGCGATTAGGTCATCCATTTCATCATCATCACCATATAAGGAGCCTCATTCATTTAGCAAATGAAGTTTAGTCTCTAACCGTGTGACTTGTCACTCAGTTTTGTTCTAATCGGACAGAGAGACTCAAGCTCTTCTTGTAACACATATACCTTTTTGACAACTTCTGCATTGTCCAATGTTGCAATACACATCTCATCAAAGAGAGATTCATACAATTTGGACAACTCCTGAGATGATGACACATTGATATCATCAAATACTTTGTCTTTTCCTCTGATTAATGTTTCATCAACAGATGCAACAAGTGCAACAATCTCATCTTCATCTGATGACACAAAATCTTGCTCATCACTGTCACTCCAAGTAGCCATCATAGCCTTTTCATGGTTCTTACTAAGAAGTATGGTGTTGGCACATTCAGCTACACGGTGCCCACTTCCACCACACGCAAAACAGGGGCCAGAAACTTTGGATAGACTTAATTCAAAGGTTACCAAAGCTTTTAATAACCCATTGAGAATAAGACACAATCCTTGCAACATAAATTGAGCTAATATCTAAACACAAAACTACTCACAATGAAGACCCCATCCCAATAAAACTTTTAAGTTGCCAAAGGTGAAATGGATCACATGATCATTGATAGGATTGGTAAGAATTGCATTTGGACAATCCAAGAGACATTTTGAGTCCTTGAGATAGGGAAAAAAATTTGAACGTTCATGACATTGCATGAGATAACACTTTTAAGAATTTTGGAATTTTCCCTTCTCCTTTTTTTGAATTTTTAGAGCTTTGCTCATGAATGTAGAGAATGAAACTTAGATATATGATTTTACTCTTGAGATGGTCTGAGCACAAGGAAAGACAAACTAGGTGGTGTTTCACACTGGAAAAGACACTTAGCCCAATTTATATAGAAGAATTATCACTACACCTCAATCTAGACCAAAGTAAGCCTAACCCATAAATCAATAAGAGCTTTTGTCAAATGAGACAAAGATTTTTCAGAAGTTATTAGCCATAATAGGGAGAACCTCTGACATCATAGAGGAAGAATTAACCAAGGTTAATCTACAAAATGTGAACAAGTGAGACAGTTAAGAAATGCACAAATTGACAAACATACTTAATTGATGAGTTGATTGACAAGACAGACACAAGAACAAGAAATGAAACACACAGAAGAATAACAAAATGGAAGCAAGGCTACTCAACCTGTTCAGTCAAAGGCACATAAGTCAATAGACCATCGAAGATTTTTGCTTCTTCGATTTCCTAAAAGACTTATGAAATACACAGCTAACTGCTCCTTAGATGTCACCAAGTTTATATCAACAACATTTCTTTGCAAGAATCTCCTAAGAGACAAATGTTTGTTCCTAAACCACTTGAAGGTTAAATATTTGAAATGTCTATCCAAACAATTAATGCATAATCTTGATCAAAATGCACACCATAAATCAAATTAAGATAATCAAATAAAAGAACAAACCATAAAGCAGAGATGCAATCAAACAAGGTATATGGAGAGCTTGCATTCAATAAAGAGAAAGAAACATACCTTGGTGTTGCAATACCTCCAGCAGTCAAAATGAGAGGCATTTCACCATGAATCAATAATGTAGATTGAGTGATCAGAATTTCATTCTCTGGATAATAGTCTTTGGCAAGTTTAGAGCAATACCCCTTTTTGTGAGATATAATAGGATACATTCCTAAAATACAAGGTTCACACAAGTAGAATTCAGAACTGAATACTTGTAATTGTTCACATTGGACCATTTGATGAAGAGAATTAGTGTTCCAACTTGAGCAATCATCACACCCAGAGGCAACAATTGAATAGCTTGTCTTGGTGAGCAATCATCACCACCAATATGTTCTTCCCATGTCTATAAACAATTCTATAACTTGTCTTGGAAAAACAGACTTCATGGGCCACTATGTCACAGAGTTGACCAATACTAATAAGAGTAGTTGACAACCCAGTCACATAGTAAACATCTTCAAACATAGGAAGTCCAGGAATTTCCACCACTCATTTTCCAACAATCTCGGCTTTGTCCCTTTCACCAAACTAAATCATACCACTTTTAAATGATATAAGAGACCTAACAGCATCTTTGTCACCAGTCATGTGATGAAAGCACCCACTGTTAAGGTGTCAGATGTCAGGCTTACAAAATGATGTTGAACTTTGAGCAATCAAGCACTTCCCAAAACCACATTGAAAACCATTTGAACGCATCTTTACATTTCTTGAGCTTGAAGAATTAACAATAATGGACATTTTGCATACCTTTATGGTTAAACGATCCACTTGTTCCTTTAGATCATTTTTCCTTTCCAGATGTAGTTTTCTACACCAAGGTCTAATATGGCCTAGATCCCCACATTGATGACACTTGAGAACGAATCTAAACCCTAAAGTGGAGTCTACTAAAGGATATATAACAAGAAGTTCCTTAGAAGCCTGCAAGTTGACACCCATGGAACTTGAACTACTTTCATCACAAGCAACCACATCTTCACTATCAAATTGATTTTCAATAACAAATACTTTTTCTGATGAGTCAGCACCCATAGATAGACAATTTAACTTTCATGTAGCCTCATTCAATTTAGAAGACATTTTCAAATTATCTTCCCGATACAATTCATTGTTTTCCCAGTAAATGGATTTGTCGAAGCAAACTTTCATGTGTTATCATTAAACTCTGAACATGATCTTCAAGAGAGGCGATTAAGTCATCCTTTTTCATCATCATCACCATAGAATGAGCCTTTTTCATTTAGCTTGTGAAGTTCATCCTCTAACCGTATGATTTTGTCACTCAAGTCTGATCTGAAGAGACACAACCTCTTCTTGCAACACAAATACCTTTTCAGTAAGCTCAACATTATCCAATGTTGAAACATACATCTCATCAAACAAAGATTCATATAAGCTTGACAACTCCTGAGATGATGACACATTAGTATCATCTACCGACACATCTTTTTCACTGGAAGACGCTCCATCAACAGATGCAACAAATGCAACAACCTCTTCTTCATTATCTGACGACTTGTCTGATGACACAAAATCTTGATCATCACTGCCACTGCAAGTGGCCGTCATAGCATTTTCATGTTTCCGAGTAAGAAGTCTAGTGTTGGCACACTCAGCAGCACAGTGTTCACTTCCACCACATGCATAGTAAGAACTAGAAACTTTTGATGGATTTTTGTCTTTCTTTCTTGAGGAATCACTAGATTTTTCACTAGAGAAAAGTTTTCCACAATTGTTTGATGACCCCTCAGACCACTTGACATCTCTTCCTTTGTTTTTGAGACTTCTTCTGAATTGCTTGACAAATAGTGCAAGATCATCCGCAAGTTCACATGTGTCACTTAAAACTTTGTTGTTCTCGATACCTTGAAGAGCAACATCTTTTTCTTTTTTGAAGACACTATCATCCATGTTTAGTTCCATCTCTTAAGTAATGAGTTTTCTAACTAACTTTCCGAGCTTAATCTCATTTAAGTGAGTGCTCCATGTTCGACTTAGATGAATGTTGATGGCGTATTATAATTGCGTTGAATTGGATATAACTACGGTTATCTCATTGGACATGCATGCACGCAAAAAAGATAAAGACAGAGAGAGAAACAGAAGGTAAGTTTCGATTCCTTTCTTCTTTGTCAGATTTCATATTCCCATTCCTTTCATTCTCATCCTCCCTTCCCCAGACCCCACCCACCATTCTTTTTTTATTAATTTAAAAACAAGTATCCAAAAATCAAAGTCATCCAAAATCTGTGCCTCTTTTGCTTTACTATATATTCTATGATCGACCCAGCTTCTGATCCGCAAGGACTCTAAGCGCCGCGATTTGCATCTCAGATGGCGTCGTCGGCACAGCTCCGGCTCATGTCCGATCTCAGAACCATCATCAATGAGCCTCCCGAGGTATATTCCGATCATGTTAACCTCAAATTCCGATCAAATCCGATCAGAATGACTGAACTCCATCTGGGTTTTTGCAGGGTTGCAGCGCCAGCCCTCTGTCCGACGATAACCTGATGGTTTGGAGCGCCACCATATTTGGGCCCGACGAGACTCCATGGGAAGGTTGTCGGGAGATCTGTTTCCTTTTTTTTGTTGTGTGTTTCTTTGTTTGTTGATTTGGTTTTGGAAAAGTTTGATTGTTTTAATGTTAAATTTGGAAAAATTCAGGTGGTGTTTTTAGTTTGAGGTTGACATTTAGTGAACGTTATCCCGAAAAGCCACCTCGGGTTCGATTCACCTCCGAAATCTTCCATCCAAATGGTTAGTTTGATTTGATCAATCATATCTTATCTACTTTCTAGTGAATTGCTTTCTGTATTTATGTGTTCATTTAATTACTAAATTACGAATTGAATTAGTATTTTTATCTACCAAATGTTAGTAATTCGATTCTTATATATGAAATGTTAGCAACAACTGAACTCAAAAGCTTAAGCTTTTAATCTCATAAATTATTAAACAATTGAAGGTGTCAATAACGGGTCTCTTGTAAGTTGTAACCGAAGTTATGATACCATGTTAAACAACCACTTCAACATTTCATCTCGGATAATCTTGACGGTATCTAAATTCTAAACCTTAGGTAGTGTTGATCAAGAGGTTAGAGATCAATTTTACTTGTAGACGAGGATTATTCAGTATGGTCTTACCCGCATAGATAGATCAAATGTTAGGTTGTGAACTTAAGTATTTCCACATTAGGAACAACAAAGAAAGTGTCTGAAACAACAATCCATATCGAGCTAACAATGGCGAGCAACCAATGCTCTGTTCTGTTGCATAGCATTTCAATTTTCAATTCCCTAGTTTGAAGTTTCACATGCGACCAAAGAGGCTGAATACATATTCTTGTTTGCAGTACTGCAACCAAACTTACAAATATGCAAACTTATGGTTGTGCGAGGCGCAATTTATCTTCAGTAGTCTTAAAGAGTAAAGATCACTGTTCTTATTTCTCTTGTGATATCAAATGAAATCCTCGGAGGCGATGTTAAGATCCATTGTTAAAAGGAAACACATGACCACTATTAACAATTTATATTTAGATTGGATATAGGGTATGCATGCTGTTCTGCTACTTAAACTTTCAAGAGCATGGCATGATGATGTTGAGATTATTTAACCATCGCCCTCTTATTGTTTTTATGCCCACACATTCCCACCTGTATACATCGATATGTATTTTCCTCGTCATTGTAACAAGCAGAACAGTGGTAGTGGGATAGAGATTTGGTAGTGGGTAAGGATCATATCATCTTTGGTTAAGTTGCTTAAAGATAGTTGGGGTATATCGGTTTCAATACATCTGAGGGTTTCTGAAAATTATTAGTATACATGAGTGCTGGTGAACTGCTACAGAGGACGATATCTAACTGCAAAAGAAGAAAAGAAACCAAGGAACGGAAGCCAAAAGCTTCATATCTTAGTTGAAATTTGAGAGCTTATAGTCTATATTGTCTCTTATATTGGTTCATGTATTATCAACGTAAACATATTGTATTATTTTTTTTCCCTTGATTTCTAGATTTGTACTCTGCTCCAGTTTATTGACTTGATACAATTCTACAGTTCTACATTTCTGCCTTTTCTTCACCAAGAAAAAGGAACCCAACTCATTACTTATGATGTTTGTGCAGTTTATCATGACGGTACACTGTGCATGGATATAATTCAGGATGCATGGTCACCATGCCACAATGTATCTACAATTTTGACATCTGTTCAAGTAATTTTCAAATCTCACAACTCATTTCCTTCTATCCTACATTCATATTACATGGCGACCATGTTGGTTAATTTACTGATGAAACAAATTGTTGCAGTCACTTCTCACCGATCCAAACGCTGCAAGTCCAGCAAACCCTGATGCTGCTCACATGTATCAGCATGACATACAAGCTTACAACAAGTCAGTGAACATTTGGTTCTTTGTTTCTCAGTTCACCTGAATCTGTTTATTTCTATTTACGCCTATTTGAACTGACTCTTCTTCGTAATTTGTAGGAGGGTACGCCGTTCTGCTCGTCATTCCATCGAGTCTTTGTAGTAGCTGTTTGAAATTATTCACGTCTACTTTTTTAACACTTTCGGAGAAGGCTTTAGTACTGCTTTATGCCCATCCGCAGCAGCTCGTTTATCTCGCTCGTATTGTTGAATGTAATCATATAGAATTTTTTTTCTCCTGCTCATATATATTATTCAAAGTTGATATCAATCTCGCACATAATAGCAAAGGAATGTAAACATTAGTTAGAAATAGTATCATTTTATTTAAGAGCGTTCGGCTCCACTCATTTGCACTTGTAAAATTTATTGCTTTAGGCTGGTGAAAATCAACCCTTATGTCCCTTTTCTCCCTTCCCTTTCTTCCCCCTTTCCCTTCTCCTCGCCCTCCCTTCATTTCTGAACCTGCGATAGGCTTCGATTCCTGTTAGGGAAGGGTGGAGCTGTAAGAATTTTATATGGAATCAACTTATGATAAAGGAGAAGTAATAGGTTGGTAATACAAATCAATTAGAGTTTGGATGCATGTAAGGCTACATCCTATAATTGAGGAATATAATTCCAACATGCATTTGAAAATAAGCACTAATCACATATGCTACTATATGATGGGGATTTGAGGCAACAGGAAACTAACCAACCCTCCACGATAGATGGGAGTTGGTTGTCATTGCTTTTATAGGTACAAGAATTTCTTGCTCACAAAGCACATGTTCTGTGATATAGGCTCTATCACCATCAGATTATAAAGGTCTCTTGGTGAGTAGAAGTTCTTCGGTTACTACAATGTCTTCGACAAGTATCAAACTAGTTATATGTTTGCGTGTGCGCTTAGGGTTTTCTATTAAACTACTATTTACTCCATCAAGAGTAACTCACCCTTTGTGTGTGTGTGTGTGCGCTTTGGTCTCGAGTTAGCCACTTTCGAGCCATTTTCTTGCCCAACCACAGCGAATTAGCCATTGAGAAAGGTATCATTCTCTTCGTTTCGTTGAGAAGTATGGTTTTCATTTTTGAATCACTCGAATTTGTTGAGTATTGAAGAAGTTATGAACGTTTAAAGTTTACCAATTTCTGGCGAGTTTTTCAGTTTTCCCGCAGACTAGTCTCATTTCAAGCTACTTTCAGGCATCTCCGGCAACCATTGGGCTTCTAAATAGGTATAATCTTGTTCTACACTTTCCTATCTTCATTTTAATAAATTATGGGTCGAATTTGGTTAAGAAACAATTGAGTTACGAAGCTTTGAAAATTGCCCAAACTTCTGGCCAAGAGCTCCGAGACACTTAACAGAGTTTTTAACAAAATGACCAAAATAATGGATGGTGGACAATCTTAGGGACGATTTCTATTGATTTTCAATCTCAAAGACCAAAGTGATGTGTTATGCAAATCTCAAGGACTATTTTGGCTAAAAAGCCAACTAGGGTTTACTCTATCAAGAGTAACTCACCCCTTATGGGTGGTGTGGATGGAGCTTAGTCTTCCACATAGGATTTATGTCTATTAATTGTTTTTTAACAAACTATATTTTTTTACACCAACGGGGAGGGAAATGGGCTTAATCTCACAATGTGCTAGCAATAATGGAGTTCGAATTTACCTTTGACGAGAATCGAACCTAACACCTCTCATTTATCCCTCTACTTTGAGGATTTTCGCTCATACTCTCACATTATCAAATCAATTATCCACCCTTTCACACATCACTACCATCCTTTCTAGATTTGACAAGTCTCATCTCGACATCGATTCACCGTAGTACCCAGGCACCTCTTTGAACTTAGACGACTATATGTTACCACCCATACAAAAGTCGATGATCTCCTTGACTGGATGTTTACACTACTTGACCTTTCTCGGTTCCACTTGGTTCGAGGCATTAAATTTTTCCTTTGTGTATTTTCTTTTGGTTGAGAAATTTGCGGCAACTAGGGTGTTGGAAGGACTACTCTGATTAATCTCTAAGCTTTTGAAAATTAAGAAAATGGGCCTAACTGCCAGGACCCGTTAGACACCTGTCTAGATAGTGACTGTCACTTAGGCAGAAAATAGATAACTTTCTTTTTTGCATTTTATTTTTTCAACAAATTGTAAGAGACTGTTGGAGTACTTGGATGAACATTCATTATATGCTTGTTCCCCGTGTTTTCAGTATGTTCTAAAGCTTTATAATTTGTATGTCATTTTATTTTGCAATTTATGTATCCCACTATAATTATATATTTTTTTGAAGTATAAGTAAACATTTATTTATATATAATGTAATAAATTTAAATAAAATTGAAAAACATTGCCTAGGTCCCTACCTAGACGCTTAAGTGCTAAGCTCTTACCCACCGCCCAACTAGCGCCTAGCGCCTTTTAGAACCTTAATTTTATGTAATTTTGTACTGGGTGTAGATGGAAACCTTTACTTATGTGAGATATGTGTAGCATTCTATTGTGTGCTTCAGGCACAATGGTAGCACCAATAGGTCGGGTTTGATAATTTTTCATTAACAATTGATTTTTCTTTTCAGTAAGAAGTAAAACAAAGATCAATTTCAAAAACTTTGTGAACTTCTAAGCTTTTATATTATTGTTACATGACATTATTGGTCATAGAGAAGGTTGAATACGTCTTCTCTAGGAGATCATCTTCAGTCAAGTCCTCGTTACAGAACCTAAGAAATGATCAGATTCAACAAACTTCATAATTGTATTCATTCTCAAACTTAAAGTCTTGGATTTGCAAATGTTGTTAGTTGTATCTTGCTTCAGGCATGAAGATGCCTTTTTGATGATCGAAACGATCTGCCAAAGCGATGCATAAAGCTTGTGGATCTTCCTCAGTGAGGTACTCAATTTGCAATGCATCATGCATGTGTCTTCGAATGAAGATCATGGCAGTGGCTTTCTCAGCTTCACCAACCAGGTTATCCATCTCAGCTTCTATGGATGCTCTAAAATTCTTAGTGGTGAGATGGAGCTTCACATCTTGAACCCGCTTGAGGTAGTTTCTTCCGAAGACCTAAAGTCGAGTTTGTTCAAATTCAACATATCTCTATCACAAGGTAATTGGACAAGACTATGGTTTATGCAATGGAGACAAAATCAATCTATCAAATAGGAGTAGAACATTCATGTTTTATTAGACATATATTGGTTTAAATTTTCATGAAAATTTTAGGTTTTCATGAGTGTCATGTTTTAAGAAAACTTCAGGTTTTCAAGGCATATTTTTCAGAAACTTCAGGTTTTGAAAAGTATATGAACTTCATGTTCATGGGTTCCTGCATGCAAACGCAATATATACAGAAAACATGCAATATATAAAAGCATTTAGAACTACAAGTGTAATTAAATTAAATTAATTAATTGGTTTATCAGACTTCGAGCCCAATGGGGCTTGGGTGGACCAAAAACACTCCAGCTGTTGCGGGGTGCGCTCCTTGGAAAAAAGACCAGTGCCGCCATTTTTAGTGGTTGTGTTTTTAGGTCGGGGACCTTGTGGCGAGTCATGGTACAACATAGAACCTTTTTTTTGGGTGACAAACAGTTAAATCTAGACATTCACAATTCAAGAAACCCTAAGATTAAAGTTAGGATTTTCAAAATCCAATGAGATTTGTATGAATCATGACCAAGATCATGACGGGGACGACATCTGGTCGTCAGGGATCGCAGTTGTGGTGGCTGGGTATGGCTATAGGCCATGCATGCATTAATTTAGGGGTGGATAATGTCGAAACGACGTCATGGGTTCTCAATTCCAAGGGATCGTCTGCGCTCTAGCTTGGGTTTGAGGCTCGGCTTAGCCACACAAGCCGCTAGCCTAGTGCTGGCGTCTCAGGGCTCAGCGGCGAGGCTCGAAGCTAGACCTGGCATTCGTGTCGTGTTTTCCGTGTTCGTGTCGTTTTCGTGTCATACCTGATATCTTAACGGGTTGTTTCGTGTAACGCCCGTTAAAATAAACGGGTAAAATGACCCGACCCGAAATCAACCCGATAATATTAACAGGTAATATGACCCGACCCGTTACCCGTTAAGGAAAATATATTTTAAACCAATAAATAATCAAATGAAAAACATAATACTAAATAAGTATATACATTCCATATTATCACATCCAAAACATAAAAACGCAATTTTGTTTTAAGTATATTTTCGCTTACCTAAAGTCTTTAATAGTTTTTTAATTAATGTAGAAGTGTAAAAAAATATAGAAAAAATATATAAACACTCGTAATGACAAGCTTTTTTCAACGATCCAACCGTCAAACTTATTTGTACACATTCCAAGATTGCATACGTAAAAAATTGTAAAAAAACAAACATTCAAATATTACGTAACGGAACAAAAGTTATCGACGGTTATAAACGAAAAATCACAATTTAACGGTTATTTTAGCTCCGATTTTGATGATATTTTTACAGATACACTCCTCGACCCTATAAGAATGTAATGAATAAATTTGATCTTTAATTTAAAGTATTTACACTAGTAGATACCACAAAAACTTATTTTATACTTAATAGAAGTATAATATTAACTTTAAGTGTTTGTTTAATCTATTGTTTTGACGCAATATGCATTCTATGAAACTTTTTTCAACGATCCAACCATCAAACTTATTTGTAAACATTCCGAGATCGCATACATAAAAAATCGTAAAAAACAAACATTCAAAGATTACGTAACGGAACAAAAGTTTTCGACAGTTATAAACAAAAATTCACAATTTAACGGTTATTTTAGCTCCGATTTTGATGATTTTTTACAAATACACTCCTCGACCCTATAAGAATGTAATGAATAAATTTGATCTTTAATTTAAAGTATTTACACTAGTGGATACCACAAAATCTTTTTTTATACTTAATAGAAGTATAATATTAACTTTAAGTGTTTGTTTAATCTACTATTTTGACGCAATATGCATTCTACGAAACGTTTTTTAACGATCTAACCGTCAAACTTATTTGTACGCATTCCAAGATTGCATACGTAAAAAATCGTAAAAAACAAACATTCAGAGATTACGTAACAGAACAAAAGTTATCAACGGTTATAAACGAAAAATCACAATTTAACGGTTATTTTAGCTCCGATTTTGATGATTCTTTACAAATACACTCGTCGACCCTATAAGAATGTAATAAATAAATTTGATCTTTAATTTAAAGTATTTACACTAGTGGATACCACAAAACTTATTTTATACTTACTAGAAGTATAATATTAACTCTAAGTGTTTGTTTAATCTACCGTTTTGATGCAATATGCATTCTACGAAACTTTTTTCAACGATCCAACCGTCAAACTTATTTGTACACATTCCGAGATTGCA